TGGTATAAACACTTTTCTTTTATACAGAGCCTGCTTCTTTAAAGCTGATCAAAAAGTAGTGGTCCTGTGGGCTTTCTCTCTGATTCTTCAGTTTTTTTTCCAGGCCCAGCAGCAAAGATAATTTTAAATCAAGCTTTAGACGAGTCACTGTTTTAAGCCCTTAAACAGTTGATAAAAACAATTTTTTTTTTTTGCTGTGATTTTTAAAATAAGACTCTGTTTTTATCATGAACTAGATGATTGTATAAGTAATCCTGTGATGTCGTGAGAAGAAAGTCAATGGGTTTTTGGATTCATCTGTTGGCTCAGAAGCAGCGTCTTCACCCTGTTTCTGAGCTCTTTGTTTCTGACCATCTTTGTTTCCTTCCTGCAGCTCAGATTGAAATCATCCCCTGTAAGATCTGTGGAGATAAATCCTCAGGGATCCACTATGGTGTGATTACCTGCGAGGGCTGTAAGGTAAGCATCGCCATCTCTTATGTGATCCTAAACCTTCAAGTCACTCATTAATGAGAAGGTGCTTATTAATTTATTAAGAAATTAACTTCTGATCTTCTTGTTTCATTTTTCCTGATTAAACTCAGGATTTTAATGACCTCTGTGTTTTTTTATAGATGTGCATAGACACTTTTCTTTTAGTCCAGATGCACAAAAGAAATGAGCTCTTACCTTTGTTCACCATATCTGACATTGGGTAACATAGACACCATGTGCAGTACAGGAAAACCCAGACATCCGAGTGATCCTCCACCGCTCATTCTGACAGACCCTAAGCTGTTCCCAGTTCAGAGGTATAAATCATTCCCCCTGCAACTTCTGGGTCTTCCCTGGAGGTCTCCTCCCAGTGGAATGTACCTCTGACAGGAACACAGTCCAAAGTGAACTTGGAACAAGTTCAACTTAATGCAGAGAAAGGAGATACATCTCTTGCTTGTGGCACTGAAGGATAATTATCCCTATAAGCCAACCCCACAGAATCCCTCTGGGGAGCATGTCCATCAGCTGAATCATTAGAAGACCAGAGGGGCAAACTCCTCTGACCCCCACTCACTGCAAAAGTAAAGATCTGGTGAAGATGCATAGGATTTCCAGGTGGTGCCTCAGTTAATGTGGTACTTGTTTGCTAAAGACCAAGAGAAGATCAAAGTCCACAAGGGTCCAGTTTGATTGACACAAATTACCTTCTAAGAACCACAGAAAATTCAGTAAATCCTCTAAAATGGGCAGTGAATGAAGCGTCTTTTCCACTGAAAATAGCAGGTTAATGCGTGTTTTTCAAACATGGGTCGCCCCGCTATGAATTGTTATTTTGCTACCTTCTCACTTTAAAAAAAAGCTGGTCTAAATAAAGTCAACACACCAAGGAGGCTGGCACAGTGTGTTGACGTCGGTCCGTTACCTTCAGTGCTCTCATTTGTAGAGTCGTTTCACTCGGGTAGACACATGTCAGTGAGCTCTTCCTACTAAAAATACACTTATTTCTCAAACTGGCACTCTTTTGCCTCCCAATTGTAGTGCTTCCCTGGGCAACCACCCATGAGAATACTCTGTTGATCCCGTTGGGTTTCACTTAAGATTTATTTACGTTTTTTTTTTGGAATAATTTGTCAATGTTGAATTATTTGCAACTGTATTTGTAATAAAAATGGAAACATGCTTCATGGAGAAGATCAGTTTCGAGGTTCTGATTCATAAAGCCATGTCCATAGCTTAGTGCTCAGCTTCAGTACCTCAGGTTGCCTGAGATTAAACAACCAACAATTTATGATGATTTCACTGACGAGTGACGATGCACAGGGCTGTGAAGCAAATTACCTCAAACAAGTCATATCGTAGATCAGGTACTGTTCTATCATAGACATTTTCAATGCTCTAAAGTGATGCTGTCTTGTCTTTTGTCTCAGGGTTTCTTCAGGCGGAGTCAGCAGAGTAACGCCACCTACTCATGTCCCCGGCAGAAAAACTGTCAGATTGACCGAACGAGCCGAAATCGCTGCCAGCACTGTCGTCTGCAGAAATGCCTGGCTGTAGGCATGTCCAGAGACGGTGAGATGGACTTAAATTTTCTTACATTTTCTTGTACCTTTATATGGTATTCATCAAAAATTAACTCGAGTTGACTCGAATCGGGACGAGTAAAAGGTTGCCCCGCCCCGCTGGCATTCGCCTGCATGGCGGTGTGCACTCAGCATGCAAACCTGGTTTGTTATCGTCTTCCTTTATGGGCTTATTAAAGCACACACTGAAGTTAGCAATAAAGTGGGGATTAGACCTACATGATATAGACTGTCATTGAAGCAAGACTTATAGTAAACAATTTCCAGCCTCACCCCGACTTAATATGATGACTTCATAGAGGGACGCATCCACTTAACTCCGACTTTTGCCCAGTTCATGACCCAGTTGGTATTTACAGCCTGCAGTTGTGCCTCTGATTCCACATCACCTGATGTCTGTGGACCATATCACCGTTTGCTAGAAATACACTGGTCCCACATGTCCTTTTTTTCTGGTAGATCTATTACTAAGGAAGTTTTACCATCAAGCTATTTTCCAAAGATCTTAGAAAACCCAAATAAGTTCAGTTCTGTTGAGCTTTATTATAACTAAAGGGCAACAACAATCTCTCAACACAATCAATCCTGAGTTTAGGAGGATCCTGGCAATGAAAGATTTCCTTAACGTGCATGTTTTATAGTAGGGTTTTTTTGATATCTTTGTTCTGATGACAAAAGTTAAGACTTTCTGTAGCAGATGGACACGAGCAAATGCATAGATCTTAGGATGATCTTAGCTTTCCTAAAGAGTGACTAAACCTCCATCCACTTTTTACGTGTGCTATTTTATGTACCTGTGCAGAGTTGGATATGTTTGTGTTAATGTTCTGCAGTAGTTGGCGCAAAACCGTCTTACTGCTGCCCTCTATGTTTTACAGGGATTAAAGTATTCCGGCCCCAGGCTGGATTTCCGGTTCATAGCGATTGCCAGTGGGTAAAAAAAATCACTCCAAATAAATCGACGGTAAATACATTTTAAAAAGACAATCAAAATCCCTCTTGCGTTTTTCAGCCAATGGTAGCAAAGGAGCGCTCTGAAACTAACAGCAACCAAACATAAGAAGAAGGGGGCATGTGCTGTTTGTGCGGTCTCACACACTACACGTTTGCCAGGAGCTACGGCAAGAGCTGATTTACCAGCGTCAATATCTGACTGTGAAAGTTAAAAATGAGGATTTGTGCTTTCCACAGCCTAGTTATACTCCCGCAGCAGTGTTTCGCAATTAGCTTTTCGGAGGCATGATGCAGACATTTTTGATTTATGCCAAATATTGAGAGAATGTTAATGTTATTTCGCGCCACAACACAAGAGGGCCAATCAGGAACTAGCAGTGGGTCTACATGAGTTTCTTACCTGTGTTGAAAAAGTTCAGACACAGGATTGTTTTTTTGCTTTAATCCCTGGTTTTGAATGAGGGCGACTGCCGTTGAATTACAAATTGTGTGTCTCTAATTTCCAGACCTTTACATTGAAAGTGGGAGTTATCTAATCACCGAGGTGATAGTGTTCCAGTTTTTTGCCTATGAATTCTATATTCTGTATTGTTTGTTTATGGCGACTACAGCCACTGCTACAACCTTGACAATAACAAAAACAAGGTTCCTACGGTGGCCCTGAAGTGCAAACTGCAACTACAAATCTAAAAGCACAACTACATTAAGTAAAACACAATTACATTAACCTACCGGAAAAGGTAGGTACCAGTGGAAAACATGAGACATCGCTGATTGGACGACGGCGCCGTTTGACCCGCTTTGCTTTATGTAGTTTTGTTTTTTTTAATGTAGTTGCTCTTTGCTTTATGTAGTTTTGTTTTTCTTAATGTAGTTGCGCTTTTAGATTTGTAGTTGCAGTTTGCACTTCAGGGCCACCGTAGGTTCTAACTGGTTACCCTACTTTCAGTACAAATGGACACCCCCCTGTGCTGAGTGGTGTTTCATTACCTGTCAATCATGTTCTTGTTTTATTTTAGGAACTTGGATTATTTACTCATATCAAATTCACTGTTGCTTTTCTCGTCCTGACCTCATCCTAACTTAACCCCCCACCTCGTCCCCGTAGAGCAGGTGAAATAAGTATTGAACATGCCACCATTTTCTCAGTAAATATGTTTCTAGAGGTGTTATTGACATTTTCAGCAGATGTCGGTAACAATCTACGCAGCCCACATATACAAAGAAATCAAAATATAGATGTCCAGAAATTAAGTTATGTGTAATAATGTGAAATCAAACAAAGGAAAAACAATTGAACAGACTCACTTAAATGTATTTAATACTTTGTACAAAAGCCTTTGTGTTTGGATTCCAGTCAGGTGAGTTGCTGGGCCGTTCTAGCAGCTTTATTTTCTTTCCCTGAAACCAACTTAGAGTTTCCTTGGCTATGTGTTTGGGCTCATTTTGATCAAGAATGTCTCTGTACATTTTTCCATTCATCCTTCCTTCTATTATATAAAGTTTGCCAATACCATATGCTGAAAAACAGTTTGACATCCAAACATGATGTTTATTATGGCATCCAGAGTTCAATTTTGGTCTCATCTGACTAGACTATATAAACTCAGTGTTTCACAGGCTTGCCTAAATGTTCTGCAGTAAACTTTAAACAAGCTTTAACGTACTTTTTCTTTAGCAGTTTTGCGTGGTGAGCATGCATAGAGGCCATGGCAGTTGAGTGCAGTACTTTTTTCTTTGAAACAATTGTACCTGCTAATTCCAGGTCTTTCTGAAGCTCTCCACATGTGGTTTTTGGCTCTTGGACAACTCTTCTCATGATCTTTATCACTCCTCTGTCAGAAATATTGCGGGGGGTACCTGGCGATACCTGGTTGTGGTCGGTTTATGGTGAAATTATGTTCTTTCCGCTTCTGGATTATCGCCCCAACAGTGCTCACTGGAACATTCAGAAGTTTAGAAATCCTTCTGTACCCAATGCAATAACTATGATTTGCAATCCCGTTCTTTATGTCTTTAATTCTTTTTTCCCTCTGCTATTTCACTTTATTACACATAACTTTATTTCTGGATATTTATGGTTTCATTTCTTTGTATGTGTGGATTGCATGGATTGTTCAACTATTATTCCCCTCGCTGTACTTAGCTCAGTGACTCTTGACCTTTTATGCTTTGGAAGTTTTGAAAACTTGCCTGGGGGTAGGGTTATGCTTTTACATCCAGTTTATTTGAATGGTAACAATGTTATAGTCAGCTTCCCAAATATTACAAGATGGATTAGAATGATTTTTACAGCATTGTTTTTCAAATACCCTGAACAGTTCTTATTCCAGACTGAAACTGACCTAAGCAAATGGATGAATTAAAAGATAAAATTGGACCCAATAAAACAAGAATAAAAATCCTTTTGGAAGTTTCCAAGTTTCTGATAAAATGCTGCCATGCTTTTTTTGTCAGTGACTCTACCTGGTTAATGAAGTTCAGTATATTATTAATAGGCAATCCCAGCTTTTCATGTTGAGGCACCTGCTCCACTATTTGGTTGTTGATCACTGCACTCATGTTTAAAAAATAAGCATTTTTAAAGTCATGCATTAATTACAGGATGCTAACTTTATTTAACGTTAAGCCACCCATTGTAATTGTAATACAGTAATTGTAATTGCTCTGATTGTCATCTATGTATTAAGCAAATAAAATGGGGTGAGAATACAACCCTGGGGAGCCCTAGTTAATGAAGAGTGTTCTAACAGTGAGAGTAAACATTTGCACATCCTGTTCTCAACCTTCCTCCAACACAGCTGTAAAGTTCGGCCGGATGTCTAAAAAGCAGCGGGACAGTTTATATGCTGAGGTTCAAAAGCACCGCCTCCAACAGCAGCAGCAGCAGGTTCCTCTCCGAACCCCGCCCAGCGTTGGCAGCCCGAGTCCCGACGAGGCAGAGTCTCTGTCCCCACAGTACAACCTGTGCTCCACGGGCCTCACGGAGCTTTCAGATGACCTGGGATGCTACATGGAAAGAAGCTCACCTGATGGAGAATCTTTGACGTCCAAAGTCTGTAGTTTTATCTCTTCAAAAAAATCTTTTGATTACCAATAATTTCTACATGAGCTCTGTCACCTGTAACCAGGCAGAGTCAGGTGGAGGAGACGGAGGACGGGGGGGTCTTTACCTGGATATTCAGCCGTCTCCGGATCAGTCTGGCCTGGATGTCAATGGAATCAAACCGGAGCCGCTGTGGGACTACGGACACAGTGACGAGTTCTTCCCGTATTGTTCCTTCAGCAACGGAGATGCATCTCCAACAGCAACCACGGCTGCTCATGGTAAGTCCGACCAAAACCATTACAGTACAACAGTGTTTGAAAAGAACCTTGGCACAAATGGTTTTAGAACATTCTTCATATTGATCCGATGCATAAAAAAGATGACGTTAAAACAAAAAGATAAAACATGTTGGGTGTACTTTCTTGTTGCAATGATCACCTACTTCCAACCGGCAAACGATACTTTAAGCTGACTGGTTGCTGTGAGACAAAACGGTGACAAAACGTATTTTAGTCATCTTCCTCACATGTTTAACAATTAATACCTTTCAAAAACAGCTATAATGGACCATTTGCAGGCTTTATTAGCAGTTTGAGACCCAGAGAAAGATTAGGTCAAATGGTGGATGCATGCTCATCCTCTATAACTCTTCTTAAAGGACTTTTAGAACCCATAAATGTTTAGAACCCAGACTCCACTGTGGTCCTTTACCAATTCTCTGGGTCTCTTGTCGGATTCCAGCTCCGATCTCCATCATTATCCTGAAACAAACAGGCTTCATTCCTGACTGCAATGTGTGAAACGCTTTGGATGAACATCCATAAAATGTGCTGCGAGGCTGTCTGCAGCTGCAGGGCAAAACAAACAGGGATGATGAGGAAATCTGCTGAAAGAGGTGAAGCAGAAAGCAAAAACTAAGGCATAAGGAGCCAAGGAGGAGAGCGAGGGAGGAAAAAAGCGAGTAAAGATGCTGACTGTGGGGCAAACGGAGACAGTAGGTGGTTTAAAATAGCAGGAGGTTGGAAGCTCATCTTCAGAGCTCATTAAAATCTCTGTGAGGTAATTAGTTATCTGTTAATTAGGACCAACTGGGACATAGCTGGGTGTTCGTTTGGGAAAATCATCTTTTCTTTATTTTCCCAGGAGATTTACTGTACAACAACCCCCAAAACTCACAAACTCATCCAAACAGAAGCTCCAGTATAATCTCAGACTTTTTATCCGTAGTTTTATTCTCATTAAATAAAAGCATGACTCTGAAGCTCAAAGAAACGCCTCGTTTAAAGATTATTTTTATCTAATTAACTGCAAAAAGAAAAGATTTTTTTTTTTTAGCCCCTATTTTTATTAGTCAAAGGTCTAAAATGATACTGATGTGAATTAAAGATGTTTGACATGAATAATCTTAGATTTATGATTTTCAGAAAGACTTTCAAGGATTGTGGCTCTTATGAAAAACTGCAGGTCTGTGGAGGTTCTTCCTTGGACTTTTAACTCAGTGTATAAACAGCTTTTGATTTTCTGTTCTAGATTAGCTTTTTGTTTTTTTCACTAACTTAATAACTTAAGACATTTCAGGCTGTTGAACACTAAGTTCTACATCTATATTTCTGCATCAGCACAGTTCTGCATGGAGGCCATCAGCCTGTGGTTCTGCTGAGGTCCGATGGAAGCCCAGCATGCTTTGGTAGTGACCCTCGTAGCATTACCCTATAGGTCCTTTTTGGGCTTTGTTCAGGCTGGTTTGCTATTAACTCACCCACAGTACCGTTATGGTATTTAGACCAGATTTTGGTAGGAACCTCTGGTACCTCCATAAAGTTTGTCAGCAGAAGCAATAATGAGGTGCTCTGAAAAATGTTGCTGCGTGTGGAAGCCTTGCTCCAGACTTGGACCAGCATGGATTTGGTTCCTCTCCCCTCTTTCACTAGACTCTGGGACCTTGTAGCCTGGTGAGACCATCCTGATCTCGC